ACCGTCTCCCTTGGCTTCTCTCCGCCGCACGACTCTTCCATGGAAATTCCATCTTCATGAAGAAAGAACATCGCCGGTGGACATGGGAATCGCCCAACGGAACGACTCACGCGGAGATCGATCACATTCTTACCAACCGAAGGTGGAGCTTGCTCGATGTCTCAGTAGTTCCATCCTTCTGCAGTGGCTCCGATCACCGCCTCCTTCGAGCGAAGATACGACTCAGCCGAAAGCTGGAAAAGAAAGTCTGTCACAGTGCCGCGAGAAGGAAGGAAGTCGTTTATGACGGTAACAGGCTGGAGGAGCTCATATCAAGATGTGACTTGCCCATCGAGGAAGACCCAACGTACGACTACGACCGGCTTCTGAAAGGATTGCGAGCCTGCGGAGAATGGGCCTCAGTGACTTCGGAGAAGAACTTGGAACGTATTTCGAAGACCACCAAGGAATTGCTCGAAAGAAGAAGATTTCTGAGGCAGGATCCGAATGCAAACCATCTCGAGCGACTGATTGCCAACGGCAGTTGCGGAACAGCTTTGCAGGAGGATCTCAGGAAGTACAGGCAAGCCAAGATACTGGAAGCAGCCGAAGGAAGACGAAGTCTTAAGAAATGCCGAAGGGACCTCTGTGAATATCACGTATCGCTGGCTGCACTATTGAACGAAGACGGGACTCCGACTTCTTCCCGATACAAGATGGAGTCTATCGCGAAGAACTTCTATACCAACCTCTTCCGCTCATCAACACCTGTGCCGATGCCCGTTGTTCCCACTGGAGAAGTACCACCACGAATTCTACCTGCTGAAGTGCGCACGGCGATTCAGACCATAAAGACATACACGGCTCCAGGACCAGACCATCATTCCGTCGAATTCCTGCGAGCCGGGGGACAACGTCTACACGAGATTCTCGCGTCGCACCTGACATCCTACCTTCAGAAGGAGAGGATTCCCGTCCAGTGGAGAACGTCAAGAACCGTCCTTCTTTTCAAGAAGGGTGAACGGGAAGATCTTCGAAATTACCGTCCAATATGCCTGCTGAGTGTGCTGTACAAGCTCTTCACGAAGATTATTCTCGCACTCATATTTAGGACACGGGATGAAGCCCAACCTCAAGAACAAGCTGGATTTCGCAAAGGATTCACCTGCATGGACCACATCCAGACGGTTTCGTGGGTCAAGTCTGCCGAAACTGCCTCTCGTCCTAACCTTCCTCGACTACGAGAAAACCTTTGACAGCGTCGAAACCAACGCCATCCTGTCTGCGCTAGTCGATCAAAGAGTGGAACCAGCTTACGTGAGGACACTAGCCAACTGCTACAAGGACTGTACAACAACGATGCAGCTATTCCATCGCCCCCTGACCATCCCAATTGGGAAGGAGGTCCGACAAGGCGACACAATCTCGCCGAAGCTGTTCACCGCGGCCTTGCAGGGTGCTGAAGTCACTGGACTGGAACGAGAGAGATATACGAGTTGATGGGAGATTCCTGTCGAACCTTCCTTTTGCGGACGACATCGTTCTCTTCTCGAGCAGTATCTGAAGCAGAGGCGATGCTGAAGGAACTAAACGAAGTAGGGAAGAAGATCGGACTGCGAATAAATCGGAAGAAGACTCAGTTAATGAAGAACGCTCTTTGCGAAGATGCAGAAATGGAATTGGAAGCATCTATATCATGGAGACGTCTTCCTACGTGTATTCCCGTACGTTCGATGAACATGGAAAATGACTTGGGGGAAAAACTCAACAGGAGAAGAAGAGTAACTTGGGGCGTTTTCGGGCCTCTGAAGCTACCGAGCAACAGACGGACCTGGAGCTTCGTGCCCACCTGTTCGACTTAACCGTTCTCCCAGCGCTCTGCTACGCAGTTGAGACTTGGGCCGACACCGTAGCCCCATCGAAAGCTCTAAGGACCACCCACAGAGCGCTCGAGCGCAGTCTTCTGAAGATGACCCGACACAAGCAACATCTAGTCGGAGTTCGCAGCACGGATATGAAAGAATGTCCCGTGTTCGTGACCCAGCGGAATACGTTGCGAAAGCGAAACACCTATGGGCCGGTCACATAATGAGAAGAGCGGACGATAGATGGGCATTAAGAACATTTGAGTGGATTCCTCTCGAAGCCAAACGTCCTCGAGGAAGACCACCGACGAGATGGGCAGACGTGTTCGTGGAACGGATGGACCAGCTGAGAAATCAGCTGGATACGATTCTCGCCCCTGGAACTCGTGGACGCAGCCACCGACGACGACCAAGAAGATCGTGGATGTCCGAAGCGAGGGACAGGGATCAATGGCAACTTCTGTACTGGGGCCCGCACGTCACGCGAGGACGGGCCATCTAAGTATCTAAGTAAGTAAGTAAGTAAGTTTCCAGTGGACTGATCTTGAATTCTGTATGGTAAGGGCCCAAGGAAAGCCATGCCCGTGTTCTGGATTGGGTACTGAGGCGGCTTTACTCTCCTATCAGGATGAACGGGGAAAGGAGGAAGAGTGAAGGGTTTTGCTTGGTGTCTTCTGCACTAGAAACAATCGTGGTGTATGATTTTCTTCACAACAGTCCGTCCCTGGAGAATCCATACCCTTAAACGGCAGAGTGTCAAAGTATGATTGACTCCACAGTGGTTGTTACTTTGATGGATGTGGAGTACGAAGAGTGAGGTGATCCTGTTCGTGCGCGGCAAATAGACTAGAGTAATTGCTTCTGGAGGTAAATCAGCATGGTCTATTCGGCCTTCACTTTTCCATAGCAGGGTTTGAGCACACTGAAAGAGATGGAGCTGTTTCTTGTGTTCTTCGGATGGCGGAGACATCATCTGAGCAATGCGAAATAGGATAATTTCCCATTATTCAAGTGAGCTACTTGCGAGGATCCAAATTTTGTGGTTGCTCTTGGTATCCTCTTTGTTATGAACTTCAAAACATACGCGAGGGTGTTCACTAGCCTTGTCCATGTGCTAAAACGAGACGCGTCAACAATTGTATTGCTCCATTTGTTATTGTCGTCATTTTTGTTTGATAAGAAGACGGACATGAGATGACGTGGAAACGCTGGTGACTTTTTTCTTCTTTTGGATTGTCTGTAGTGCTACTTTCAAGAGTTTCGAGCAAATTAGAAGGCCAGGATTCTGGTTTCTCCATGAGAAAGTTTGGTCCGTTCCACCACTGTTTGAACTTCAGTAGCTCTTCAACTGTGGCTCCTCATGTTCCTACATCTGCGGAATTGAGTTCGCCGGGGATATGTCTCAAAATGACATTTTTGGTGTTTTCGTGGATGGTCCTTACACGATTTCGGATAAAGACGGGAAGATCCTTGTTGCTTTTAGTCCAAGCAAGGGATACTATGCTATCGGTCCAAAGATATTCTTTTGGAAAGTAAGTCGAGTTGTTTCGTGATGTATGTGAGGATTTGCACCAATCATCAACGCGGCAAGTTCCAATCGTGGGATTGTGATGGACTGATTGAGTGGAGGCAATCTGGATTTTGACATGAGTAGTGATATCTTAATAGGTTTGTCCGTTTGACATTGTACGATGTAAGCAACAGCGCAGTAGGCGTTAGCTGAAGCACCGGTGAACAAGTGAATGTCGAGATCTGTCAAAAAGTCATTCAGATCGATAATTAGCCGTGGTATAGTCAGGTCAGGTACTGTCCAGGAAGAGATTATCTGATGCCACTTGTCGTATTGCTTCTTCGGTAGGGTTTCATCCCAAGATAATTGAATCTTCCAAAGTGATTGGAGGAAAAGTTTGCCATTGAGAAGGGCTGGAGAAAATTATCCGATTGGGTCGTAGATCTGATATGTTTCAACACTTTTCTCGGTCCATACGAAGTTGCTCCTAGGTGTTTCAGGCAAAGAGATGATAAGTGTATCATTTTCTGTGTTCCAATGTAGTCCAAGTAGTTTTTGCATGGGCTGAACCTTACAGTTTTCATTCTGTTCGAAGAATGCGTTCAATTCCTTTGAGTTGCTCGCGTAAGCGCGTAGATTCATTCCGGCTGCAAGAAACAATTCTTTCGATTCTTTGTAGAAGGTGACTCCTTCCTTGATTGTGTCTACTCCGTGAAAGATGTTATCGACATAGGTGTTTCGAAGTAGATGTCGAGCTATATCTGTGGTAGTCGAAGATAGATAGAATTGTATCGTACCGGCCAAGAGGAACGGGGAGCAAATGAGTTCAAACGGCACACGTGCGAAACGATATGTGACTAAGTTCTTTGAGCTTATAGGCTTCACTAGCTGGCTTACCCGGCTCCGCCGTATCCGGACCAAACTTGGCACACATACACTTCGGGCCCCGGCGGGTGTCACAGTCCACTTTTCGTTATCGATCGATGTCGATTTTACCGATTTTTATCGATTTTTTTTGCAGAGTTCACCTACAGGGCTACGAGTTGGCACAGGGGGGGGGGAAGTGAGCATGGGGATTCCGAATACAATATTAGTTTTCAGAATTATCGATTACTTTTATTGATTTTATCGATTTTTTGTAAATTTTGACATGCGAGGCTGGGATTTTGCACAGGGGGGTAATCGAGCATGCTGATTACGAACACAATATTAGTTTTCAGGATCGTCCATTACTTCTATCGATTTTATCGATTTTTTTTGTAAAGTTTGACCTGCGGGGCTGGGAGTTTGCACAGGGGTGTAATCGAGCATGCTGATCACCCCCCTTGGGAGTGATCAGCATGCTCGATTACCCCCCTGTGCCAACTCCCAGCCCCGTAGCTCAAATTTTCAAAAAATCGATAAAATCGATAAAATCGATATCGATCGATGACGAAAAGTAGCCTATGACACCCGCCGGGGCCCGTAGTGTATGTGTGCCAAGTTTGGTCCGGATCGGTTCAGAAATGGAATTTTCTATTCGGAGCATACGTACACACAGACATACATACATACATACATACAGACAGACATACAAACAGACATTCAGCTTTATATATAAGATTGGATCGTCTAACCACAGAAAACGCGTGTAATGTCGAGAGTCCTCATGCAAGCCGACCATTAGGAAGGCTTTTTCTATGTCGCTTGAAATCAAGATCTTGCATAGCCTGCTCCGAAGAAGAATCCCAGTGAGGTCTGGCAGAAGTGCCGGTTCGCGATGTAGAAAGTCGTTGATACTCAGATGTCCTGTCAGTTTGGCGGATCCATCAAATACGCATCTTATCTTTAGGCTTTCACCGTCCTTCTTGACAACTCCGTGGTGTGACAAGTAATGGCAAGAATTTGTAACATCATTGGTTGGTACTCGCTCAATGATCTTTCTTTTGAGTTGATCTTTGAAAATCTCATGATATTTCTCAAGGAAAGAAATATCCTGTTGCAGCGACCTGTGCTGCGAGCACAAACGCGAATACGCAAGAGAAAAATAGTTGGGTAGTTCAGATGGATTCATTTTGAACGGCAACTTTACGATGTACCTTCTTTGAACTTCATCATAGTAGACGCTATTATTGAAGTATTTGAGACATTGTTCATCATCTTGCTGTAAAGGGTCATCGAGTATCCCAATCGTTTCGAGTCTCCAGAAGTTGCTAACCAACTCAATGAGCTCCTTGTGATTCGAAGGATTGGACGCATCGTCTGTCTCAGTGATAGAGTTGACGGCAGTACATGTAACATAATTTTTCGCTTTGAAAGATCTGCCTACAATCATGTCTCCAATAGCTACATGTAAAATTCGATAACTCTTTGAAAGAGTCCTGTGATGGAAGTCTTCAGACAAAATAATGTCCCAAAAGTAGTCATTCCCAACAAGAATGGACGGTTGACAGACAGAGAGGGTGACATTACTGGTTGATCCTTCAGGGATTTGGATGCGCTGTAGGTTTCCAGTGAGCAACGGTATCGATTTCACTTGAAGGTGTTTCACTCCCTTTTCAGTGTACAAACCTATTACGTGGTTTCGGCATTCCAATTCCGGGGATTCGATTTTCCCAAAGGTAGAGAGGCTGATATGTTCGCTCCCTATGGTAGGCAAATGAAGTATGGTAGCGACTTCGTCGGTGATATATGACTTGTTAGAACCGCTGTCCAAAAAAGCAGTCACTGTAGTTTGATGCGAGCGATCTTTTGGATTGAAGAGCGTTACAGTTGTGCACATCAGTGCAGTCTGAGTCGTAATATTTGTTACATTGTTGGTTGAGCAAGTGACAGGAGCTTGTGTTGTAGGAACATCGATCTGTGAGTCAACTGGTTGTTCATTCTGATCAATAAAAGAAGTAACAGGCTTTTTGTTAGGTTCTTCTAGGTGCACTGTATGATTCTGCAGCCTCGGTGATTTTGAAGAGGATCTTACTTTAGGCGGCGTGTAGATTGCGTGGAAATATGATCATTGAGATTGGACGGTGTAGAAGCCGATTGAGAGCGACCCGATCGAAAGCACAATGAGGAATGGTGTTTCTTGAAGCAAAACATGCAACGAAACTTTGACGTGCAATCTCTTGTACTGTGAGAAGTTGAAAGACAATTGAAACAAAGTTTCCGGCGTTTTACTTGATCGATACGATCTTTCGCTGTAGAGTAAGCATCTATTGTTGAATGAGCGGTAGAGTTACAGAACATGCACTTACGGTATTTTTTCTTTTCACCTGCGACTTTGCTTGGCCGAGGTGTTCTGTTGAGCGCTACGTGAAATCCTTGTGCTGGTCTTGTATGCATAAAAGGACGTGCGTGATATTCCATTTCGAACAGCGTAGAGTTTTTTCGAACGATATCCGTCAATAGATGGAGTAGTTCCGAAGGGGAAACGTTGTGATCATTTGAAGTGCGGTCGTATACCAGACTTCTCACTCGCAGAGGGAGTTTGTTGAGAACAGTGCCCCCAGGGCAGTTTCTGAGAAATCATCATGGTTGTTTGCGAACTGCCGGACGACGGAAAACATTTGATTGTATAGAATGGGTAGATGGCGTCCTTCAGGATCGCAAGGTGGTAGCTGTACCAGTTTGGTGAAAAGGATATGCCTGACGGTTACCTTGTCATCGTAAAGTGTCTTCAGTATGCCTATAGCAATATGATAGTTCTCGGCTGTCATCGAAAGTCCTTGGATGGACTGTAGGGCTCTTCCACGGAGGCATGACTTCAGAAGTGAGAATTTTGTAGTGTCGTTAAGTTGACTCTTGTTGGCGACAAGTGTTGCAAACCAAGCATTGAATTCTGGAAAATCTAGTAGATTGCCATCAAATGTAGGTAAATCTAACTTGTTAGAATGGAAGCATCTAGAAGTTGAGAAGAGACGTGTCTGGCGTAGAATGTATAGGGGTCGTCTCGTGTTTGTCTTGCCTTCGTCGTCTAGAGGTGTCACGTCAGAGAGATCTAATGGTGGATTGAGTTCTCTTTTGACATACTCGGCGTCTAGAGCATTCAGAATGGCATCACATTGTTCGAGAATGTTGGTGGCTGAGGCAATATCTGTGCGATAATCGCCGTGTTTTGTAACGTAGTCTTCGAAAACTCTTTGCTCTGTTGGATCGGATTGAAGAGATATCCATTCTTCGTGGAGCTTCACAATTTTATTATGTGTTTTCAACAAATTCGTCTTTGTAGAAGCGAGTTCGAAGCGAAGTGATTCCAGTACATCATTGCTCAATGGGTTGAGAACAGGTTGAGATGGTTCAATTCGGTATTCTTGAGAACATCAAAGGCTGCGGAACAGTGTCGCTGCAGCTGCCGTTTGAAGAATCCGATATGTCTTCGAAGAACTGTGCTGTCGGGAGTTGACATTTCTTGAGACGGGATGAGAAGGTGTCAGTGCAACCGTGTTGATCTGGCAGTGGTTGGTCGTGAGGCTGTCGAACGTGGGTTGTGGCTGGTTCGTCGTCCTTAGGGTAAGGAAGTGTAAGCGCACAAACGAAGGTGCGGAGCTGTTAATATCCTGCCGTGGTCGCCAGATAATTTGATGAACTGACCGCGAAGGCGATGGTAGACTGACGTTTATTGCATGGGCGAAAAAGCGAAGTAACAATTTTCAACAAGCTTATATATCATACATCTCTCTTCTATTCCTGAACTATTTCTCGCATAGCATAACGTAACAGTATCAACATAGCATATGCAGAATTCTATAAAATGACTAGCAGACCGCTGACTAATTCTTGTTTTAATATGAAGCGCAATTTCGAATGTGACAGGAAGGATGTTTTTCAACATATTCTGTAGCGTTACAGAAAGGAGGAAACAGGGTAGAAGTAAGCAGTAAGAATAGTTGAGCAAGATTGCAAAAGTGTACCACGGTGTTGCACGAATGGACTTAGCCGCAAACTTTGTAGAACAAACCTATCTACAGTTATTTACAAACTCAACGGTCTTACACTCAAGTTTAAGGAGAATACAATTACTCGAAAATCGCGTTTTCATATGTCGAATTCAGAGCAGCGTAAACTTCCCTAGGAAGCGTTTTTTGCAACTTCGGTGAGATACTCAGAAACTAGAAGGCTTCCTTCACAGATCCATATATAGCAACCCCTGCGTCTTACAAAAGGAAACTTTCTATTAGGTCATTCGGAAAGTTTTTTCGCTTTTTGCGCTTTTGACGTTGGTACCATATTTTAAGAGGGTGCCAAAGGGCTGATAGGGGTTGCTATATATGGATCTGTAGAGGAAGCCTTTTAGTTTCTGATTATCTCACCGAAGTTGCAAAAAACGCTTCGTAGGGAAGTTTACGCTGCTCTGAATTCGACATATGAAAACGCGATTTTCGAGTAATTGTATTCTCCTAAAACTTGAGTGTAATACCATTGAGGAAACCATCATTGTGCGCAATGCATTTGCCAAGACCACATCTTTCTTGAGGTAGGTTTAAGTTTGCTTTGAAAAGTTCAAATCCAGAGAAGTGAAGGCTAATATTTTGCGGTGTCCTGAAAAGTGTCCCTGCCATATAAACGAGCACCTCAGAGGATCCTTTAAAGCAAATCGCAAATATAGCTGCATAAAATTATCAGAAGGCCTTGAAGTGTCATACAACTCCATTAGAAGCCACCTTCGCTAAAGCTGCAATACCGAAAAATTTCAGTGGCATGTACCCCACAAATTGTAGCACTCGCAGATTGAGGGCGCGTTGACTCTGCTTTCGTTACTCATAACTTGTAGAGAAATCCTTTTTTGGCCTGCATTTTGGTTAAAGCAAAAAATTGGCCAAGTGCGACTACAAGAAGCGACATTGTGGTAAATCATTTGGAATAAGCACTGAAAGCATGGCCAGAACAACCGGTCATTCCAAAAGGTTGATGTGCTCAAATTGAGTTAATCCTGCTGGTCTTGTAGGCTATAATCTTGCTAAGATGCGCTTGTACTGTAAGTGCAAAGTAGTGTGATATCGGTCTGAAGACCGTTTGTTAAAATTTCAAAACTGAGCGGACTTGCATGTATAAGCTATGAGAGTTGCCATCCATGCCTATGACTTCGCCAAACCACATGTAGGAAAAGTGGCTCTCACAAAAGGAGTTGACTGCGTACCGAGGTTCCTGTTTTATTTTCAAACTCTTTAGACCTTCCTTAACCAATCACCAAATTTTCTTATTTCTCGGTGCCTATCAGAAAATAATAGGACCTAATAAATACTAGCTAGTCAAAAACGCCTTTTAAGGCTTTATTGATTCCTCTGTGATTATTTCGCAAAAAGTACAGGAGGACCACAATTGTGATAACAAAAATTTGCTGAACACAACGCAGTTTATTTGATGGAAAAGGGTTGGATCTGGAAAAAATTGTGTTTGTTTGAATTTGAAGGTGCGAAAACGCAAAAAACTTTCCGAATGGCCTAAAAGTTTCTGAGTGAGCGATCGACCATATGCATATTATATTAGGCTGCTGCATAAGTTCTGTCCGATTTGAATTTTTGAATTAAGATATCATAACTTTTTTCAAAATCAACTTTTTCCATAATCTTAGTTTCTGTATGTTGAGCAGTTCTATTGCTATCAGAGAAATATTAGGTTGGCACATAAGTAATGCAACTTTTTATATAACTTTTGTCTATTTGAACGTAGCGCATTAATTTTTTGGCAATGTAAGGAATATGATGTAAGCTTCTAATGCACACATTTTTGCCGAACTTTACCGTCTTATGTGAGGATTACGGTAGGTTTACGGTACTACGGGAAAAATTTTAGAATGCATCAGATTTTGCTGAAACTTGGCCTATAGGGCTTATTTGACATGCTGATCACAAAAATGAAATCCGTTTCGCATGAAAAGGCCTCGTTCGTGAGATCGAAAGATGAATTTTATTTTAGCGACAAATGAATATGATATTCGTGTTTACTGCATAGGATTACCCTATAGTGCAAAGTTATAACGAATTCTGACTTTTCGCAGCTTAGTTATCGACAAATTGCCTTCAAAACTTGACGCATTTGACTTGTTCAACTTCTCAAAGGCGCCCCACCTTAATTTGTGTTTAAATTTCATTTCTTTTTCACTGATGCCAATGTACCAACTTCCAGCTACATGCTGCCTATAATTGCTCTTTCATATGTTTGAATCAGGTTTCGTAGGGCTTCATGTTTGCCAAAAAATCGTGAAACCTCAATTTTCAGCAGTTTTCAAAAAATGCTTAGATTTTTTGTACTACGTTATCAAAAATCAAACGGTTTGCGCAGACTTACAGCATACATCACGATCTACGCGATATCACAAAATGAGACTGCTACATAAAATAGGAAAAAAGTTACGGCTAAAGTTGCAAAACTTATGTGCCAACCTAATATTAGCTCTTGCGAAAAAAAACTGTTAAAGAAAAAGCAAAAACTCAAAAACTTTACAGCGTTTTTATTCAAACCTCATCTTTGTCGAGGCACTGCTCCCTTATAAGAGCTGACAGGCACATTTAGCAGTCATGCATAGATAGAGTAAATTTCGAAGATCATTCTTCAGCTCAAAAGTGCCCATAGGATTAAAAGGATAAAGGATTCGGCGTCTTCAATACCCTCTGAGGGCATGCGCCGAACGCACACACTAACTTCATGGTCGAAGAGGCAATTGTATGCGTGCGAGCCTATTACAGTGACTTACGGGGGCCAGCCGTTTCCAAGTCAGTACTTTTATCCTCCCAGATTACTCTGGTACCAATTTACCGGCCCCGGAGGGTAGAGGGCTTGGTTGGCCCAGGGGCGGGGATCGAACCTGTATCCGATCTGGTCATAGCGGCGCCTCATACCACTACGCCACTCGTCCCCGCCCATAGGATTATCGGTATCAAAAGATTTTTTTGACCGAACAAAAACGGAGCCGTTTTTCAATCTCGTTTTAATACATGTATGCATGACAACCTTCAAATTATAAAAATTTTATTGTTGCCGCGAGGGGTGAAAAGCACTGGCGGCTGGGATCTGCTAGTTTTTGCTTGACTCTAGCACCTCTAACATTAGATTCATTGATTGCCTCTATTCAGGGAAAGCCATTGCTTGTAGAACTTTTGTACAGATGATTATTCTTCAACAACAAATTTTGCTAGCAAGAAGTTTTTTCTTGCATGAAAGTGAGTTTGTGCTTATACTGGACTGTTTCACACTTATTCCGTGACCAACACAAACACTTGACTTGGAGAGCATATTGTGGATATTTTTTAGCAAAAACTTCTTCTTAGCTGAGAACGTGTCTCGACCATTTCAGGATCGTAGGCCTGCAATCTCTTCAGACTGGAGATTTCATTAAAATACGATATATGTTAGAAAGAGCAAGAAAAATGCTTTTTGAGGGTACAAAAAACATTGCATTAAGTCTGAAAACTCCTAGAACGGATGCTTCAAACGCAAAGCAAAAAAATCGGACAGAACTTATGACGCAGCCTGATACAATGGCCCGTAGTAAAGCTAGTTCAGTTCAGGTGAACTGAACTGAGGCCCTCATCCGAGGTTCGGTAAGGTAGACTGCCTATCACCAGCTTTCCATGTTGTAAGAATGCTAAATGAGATTTCAGCTGACCGTCCGTCTACCTGACGAGGTAGTCTACCTTACTTCAGTCAGTTCACATTCAGTTAGACCACCATTTGATGAAAATAGTGTGCTGATGATGATACGCAGAGAAACTTCTTGTAAGTTGCTCCTGAGTAACTTACAAAACATCATAATTTGCCTAACAATGCAGAAAAACTCAACGAAAAACTGCACACATCTTCCCTCACTACGTCGTTTTTGGCTTTTTTTCGCTCCCTTTCACTGTTTCATTTTGTTATTGATACACCTGTCATCGAAACTAGCATAATTTTTGCCTGAAATGATTAAAATTCTTTTTGACGTGAGATCCGTATCTTATTCCGGCTGTCATAATTCTGCTCGATCGCAATTTCCGGGTGCATGTCAAGAGGCGCGATTCTAATTGCCAGATGGACATCAAATAGCGAATAATAAGTGTTTTACAACGTTCTAAAAGTGTTCGAATTTTAGAAGGACATATGTTAGATAGTTTCATGAGTTCCTCAAGAGCAATTTTCAAGGTCAAAAACCCATAAAAATGCTTAAAAACAAATCCGTGAAATTTCGGTCCACTTTTCAGCAAAAGCTCCTAAGTTCAGCAAAAGTTAACCATAGACAGATGCTAAGTTAATGCACTTCATTTGATATTTTTGCAGACTTGCGCCTTACTAAACTAAAGTCTTGAGTTGGTGGCAGCCGGAGAAATCGCGCCTCCTGACCGTCTCCCGCAATTTTCGGGTGCTCATCGCTTAAGTGTGCAATCTCATGACATAGGGTCATTAGGTGGTGTCTGGTCTTGATGAGAACTAGATACTTTTTGAAAGTTTGAGGCGGATTTCGTGTCACAACGATCTGGTCAGTATTTGAACCCGAGCTGCTATTATTTCCTCCATTTTATGCTTTAGTTTTGCACTCCATTTTGCAGGAGATTCTATGTTCTGTTCTTTAAATCTTCCATTTTCGTGTTTTTGTATATGTCGTAATCGCATAATCAGCTGTTGTTTTTGATGTCTTCTCTTCCTGCTTACAAGCATCTAAAATGGAACTAAAATTCTTTATTGACTCGCTAATCATTGTCATTCCAGTGCATTCAGTTCATAGTAGGTTTTTTCAAATCTACCAAGGCTGATTTTCGATAATTTTTAGCACTAGATAAAGCTGTCAGTGGAAGGCATCTGTAGCAAAAGATTGGCTGGTATGATGATGTCGATGAGCAAACTTATTGAGACTAGAGAGTTTTCATACTTTCGACACAAAGGTTAGCAAGTTTTTGGAATTGCGTTCTAGATTGGTGTTTTTGAGATTTTTCATTTCTTTTGTCGATAGCGGCATTATACCTGATTCTCAGTTGTTTGGCGCCATCTAAATCTACTTAACCGGCTGCGCGGGCGGTCGCGCGCGTTTCCCACTGCGTGATAGGACCCAGCACATTGACCTTGGGCCACGCTTGCTTGCTTAAACTTGGAAAATCGGTTGGAGATGCTATTTTGAATCTTGTCAGAGCTTGAAGAAAGTCAAAGAACATTCTCAGAAAGTGCATATCCTCATATCCTCCATTCGAAGTATTATACTGTATTCTCATACTGCAGCTACTTTGCAGCGAACATTCCCGTGGAGGGGCAGGCCACTATATAAGTCAGTGCGCGCGTGAGTGTACATTTTCAACAGTGCGAACTTCCTGTATTGCTTAAGATAATGCTTTTTCGAAGAAGGATTGATACCAGTCAAAAAATATTGTGCTTCTTTCTTTGGTACGTCTTGCATTATCTTAGATGCTTATCTCAGATGTTTGACTAGTTTTCTTCCATAGAAAAGGCTCTTCTCATTCAGTCTTTATATCAACATCAACGTCTCCGAAGTTTCAGAGACTAGTTAGGCAAATGTCAGATAGGAACAATGCTGCCCCATACTCAGGACTGAACTTTCAATCCCTTTTCCAACAAGATCCCACCGAGAAGACAAAACAGTGTTTCGTGATCAAGGGATCGAGAATGACGAGCGTTATCTGACAAAGCTAAAGCTAATTTGGATCATGTACAATGAGCACACAGTATCAACTTGTACTTGCAAAGCTCTCAAATTTCCCGGTTCATAATAAATAATTGATATGTTAGCAGAGGCCCAATTTGTAAGCCCTAAAAAGACCGAAGCAATTCGAGAAGTGGGAGAATAAGTATTAAGCCGCTCGAACTCCCTTTTCTAAAAGCTGCCATCGTTCAAAAAAGCTTTGTCTTGACAAAATCCAGCGATAGAATATGATAAATGCTGCATATGAAAAGCTTCTGGGGACGGTGAGTCCATTGTACCCCCATACAAACCGGTATAGTCAGGAAACATCTCCAATCATAAAATGATGGTCATTTCGAAACAGCACCACGAAAACAATATGAAAGTGGTGATACCATCTACTGCAAGATGACCTAACTTGGAAGAAAAAGCTATTTAGACTTCCTATCCATTCAAGCTAAAGCAGCTTCTCGCCTCAATACAGGAAAAGTGTTGTGCTCTGACCATCGCTAAACATTGTAAGAAGACCATTCATATGTTTCAAAAACTCTTCCAACATCCATGCGGACAGCAAGAAGATCATAATGCGCAACCGTGATTATTCACGTTTGAGTGAGCAAGCGTGGCCCGAGCACAATAGCCTGGGTCCCGGCACGCACGAAGGGCGTGCGCGACCGCCCGCGCAGCCGGTTAAGGGATCGTTCATACCGCGCCTGTACCCGCCCAAATACGTCCAAATACGCCCAAATACGCCCAAATACGTCCAAATACGTCCAAATACGTCCGAATACGTCCAAATACGCCCGAATACGTCCGAATACGCCCGAATACGTCCGAATACGCCCAAACCCGCCCAAACGCCGAAACTGCCAATGCGCAGCAAATTGCGTGCAAATTGGCATATTGGAGCACGCGTGGAATACTGCGTGCGTGGTGCAAATGTCCTATTCACACGACTCGGCGGCTCATATCGATTTTAATTCAACTACTCGGTTCAAAGTAAATTATCGATCGAATCCTAATTACATGAGATCAGTTGGCGCTATTCCACACTAGTTGACTAAAAAAATGAAGTAGCGGATTTCGACGATACTTAGTCTGGGGGATGAAGACTCGAATTTGCTCAAAACCTTGCCTGAAGGGGTTCTTAAGCATGCTGATTGCAGATATCATGCTCGTTCGCTGCAACAATGCCTAACTGTTAGAGTTACAATGCGTGAAAAAAGCAACTTTTCCGTTTTTCAGCCAAACTAAGATTCCGGAAATCCACGAAAAGGCTATATCGTGCGAACGAGTGCGATATTCGTAATCAGCATGCTTGGAAACCCCTCTAGGCAAAGTTTTAGCGAAATCCACGATTTTCATTTTTTGGGTTATCTAATGTGGAATATGCCAATTTGCATGCAATTTGCTGCGCACTGGCAGTTTCGGCGTTTGGGCGGGTTTGAGCGTATTCGGGCGTATTCGGGCGTATTCGGACGTATTCGGGCGTATTCGGACGTATTCGGGCGTATTTGGACGTATTCGGACGTATTCGGACGTATTTGGACGTATTTGGGCGTAATTGGACGTATTTGGGCGGGTACAGGCGCGGTATGAACGATCCCTAAGTAGATTTAGATGGGGCCCAGTTGTTTTGGCATGTTTGTTCTTTCTTGACTTTGCATGCTAATTTTTTTTCACGAGCTCTTTTTTTTGTGGAAGAAGTTGGTCAGGAAACAAGTTTTTTTGGTACAAAAGTATTCAATGCCTTATTCTTTTTTCTCGGAACATTGCTGCCGCACTTAGCTGGTTCGAGCGATTCATCTCTTTCACCCCCTTCGCTATTGGTCAATTCAGTGTTCTGACCAAAAGTGAATGGCGAAACAAACAAACCGGTTGAAGCAGATAAATGGCACCTACCTTAGTGGTCTGCGCTGCGTATACGCGCTGTCACAAAGAGAATTTTCCTCTTTCGATTGATTTTGTTTTCGAAAAGTTCTACATTTCTACTGTCTGTTACCTTCCAAAATCTTTCGCAAGAATGATGGCTTTAGTTTTTCCGTTCTCTTCGGACTCACCTTTCGGAGTTCTATTTGATGAATATGCACATATGATGTGTTCCAGAGTTTTTTCATGGATATCTCCACTAGACCAAATGGCGCCCCAAATGGACTTTGCTGGCACATGTGTGATTGGTTGGAAATTCACCCGCGCTAGCACAGCTGTGGTCTTAGGTGAGTATCCTTCATTATAGTCTCATTGTCAATTAGCGTCTATCTGCAGCTATGTTTCTCCATCGGTGCCGTTTAGGCTCATGTTGGCAATGATTCTATTGTTGAAAACATGGAGTCAATGTTCTTTATGGAATTTTTCGTCTCTTTCTGCACACCAATCTCTCACAGGATTTATGCAGGTGCGTTGTTTTTTGTTCCATAATCCAGATGTTTCGATATCTGGTCGTCTGCATGATGCATTTTCTAATTACACTGTTTTCGATCTTGAGATATAGCCTTCTGCATAATGCATTTTCTAATTACACTGTTTTCGATCTTGAGATATAGCCTATCTCAAGAATGTGGCAGCTCCAGCTGGTCATCCGCAGCCGGCTCGCTCGACCTCGCCGGGCTTTTGTAAAGGTCGTCTGCGAAGGCACAAAGCACGGGCGAATCGCGGCGACTGCGCGGCGCTCAACCTGCGACACTCTTGTTGAGACGACCTCCTTCACTTCTCAGTCAAGAAGCTAACAACATTCTCCAAATCGTCGCGAATCGCTCATGCCTAGCGCCACGTTCGCAGACAACCCTTACAAAACCGCAAATTTGACCGAAGTTTTTGCAGCAGTTTTTAAGTTCGACTATGCATCCACAGTAATCGTTACGCTTTTCTAATACTACTGTTACTTGTTTTCGCTACTTTTCGTTTTATTTTCTTGTCGCTCATATGAAGTTTTTTTTTTGTCAGGCCGTCGCTTCGAAGTTTATGGAGGCGACAGTATGCTGCATTGAGGCCTTGTAAGGCCCCGGGCAGACTTCACGCGATTTGATCGTCGCGACTGAATCGCGACGAGACAACTGTTACAACATCATTCCATGCCGATCAACTTGCATTCGGTTGTGATACTTTTCCAGTCCGAAAATTTTGAATGTGAAATGAAAATGAATGGGAATCTTGGCGATTAGATCGCGACGATTAAGTCGCGTGAAGTCTGTCCGGGGCCTAATGCGTTCGGAACTGTAGCCTTAAATCGCCAAATTTGGTTTGCCTAAATCCCAAGAATTGTTTGTTGGTAAAACAGACAATGCTTGTACGGCTTTTCGGCATTGTTAGTCAAATGAGCTTCGACTTTATCATTGCAGCTGAGGAATCGCTAATCCTCTTCGTATCTACACTTGTTTTAGGAAAAGTTCAGCCTGTTTATTGTCGCAATGTATGCTGACATAAGCCATGGAATCTGCAAACAAGCTTCGGGAATGAACACAGTCTATGAGAAAATATCTGGCCTACTGACTTCTCTTGATGGAAGGTTAGTTTCTCCACTTCGTATTCCTAGACTTTCAATTTAATGAAGATTATCTGACTTTTCATTATCAGATATCTTTTTCTTGTGCGAAGAATCGTTTTTCACTATTCCTGACTTGTTAGCCCAGAAACTGGTTAACAGATCAGTGAAAAACGAGCAAATTTTGTTGCATAGCTTGCAACAAAATTTGTCTTGCCATTATACGTCAGTCTGTTTGATGGATTTATTCATTTGGAAAACAAAGCTACCATTTTTTCAGGTTTCCCTCTTCCCTATCTGAACTTTCCGTGTTTTCTGATCTTTGCGAAAAGATCAGTAGTTAGAAGACTGTAGATACGGCCAGAGTGATGCGACTATTGCAGATGGATGATGAACAGCTAGAAGCAGCTCGCAGTAAGGATCAGATGGCAAAGTTCAGGTAATTACGAGTTGCATTTCTTTTTTTACTGCGGATGTCTTGGTTTAGAGACGAAGTCTTATCAAGTATAGATCTGAAGAATGATAGTATCGACCTTGGCACTACTATAGAAAGGTCTGCTTTGGAAGATAAAGAGTAGGTTTTTAGTAATCGCTTGAGTATCTGGATGCCAGTTTATCTGAAGTTTTGCAGTCAGTTACACTTGTTAAATGTAATATTCATTTGGATTTTAGGTATACAAGTGACAATCCAGGCGGAATCTAGGACCGTAAGTATCTGAATCCTTTGTTCTTTGGTTTTTATTGTCTTCTGTCCTGCTTATAGGCCTCAACAACTGATTCTGGCTTAGAAGTCGACTTTGAAGCACCAGTTGTGGCAAGTGTTTTGTGTTATCCACTTATTGATGTTCCGCTTCAGACATTGAACTTATGGCACATAATTCAGAGTTCTAGAAAAGAATCAACAACTGTCAGTGGTAAGAAACCCAAGAAAAGGTTAAGGAAAAGAAAGAGGAAGGAAAGGGAGATGGTTGGCTTCCACGGGGAAATTCTGAATCAAGCATGCTTATCCAAGTCTTGCAGGTGGATCATCTACCCCTCGAATGCTCGTCTTCCACAGTGTTTGAGAATTCCGAAGATGATATAGTCAAAGATGTAGAAAACCTAGAGGCAGTACTCACTAAAAGTAAGAGGAGGCAAAGTGTAGAGGTGTGTGGTTGATGAACCTCTTTATATTCTACAATTTATAGCTTTTTCCCTATGTTCCAGATCAATTGAGTTCCAGAATTCTAGCACCGTTCGTATTGTGCGCTGTGTCACTTAGTGTTTATTTAAGGGGGTAAGTGGAGGTGGGGTGAAGGCTAAAATTACAAATCGAATCTAAAATCGACCAAAAAGTCAAAATCAAAAAAAAAAGAAAATGTACACGATGAGTCACTTTTATTTATAAGGCACTGAGGCCCCTTTGCACGTACATCCCCATGGGGAGGTTTCTGGAGATCTGAGAGGATCTGAGAAGGGATGCGTCATATCTCCCTGGCTAGATATCTTTCTTTTTCTTTCTCTATCTGCATGATGGTTCTCATACCGTGATACCTGCGCACATTAGATGCCAGGTTACTGCCATACAAGATTAGATTTTCACTGTTTTGTGTGATTCCCTGGGGATGTATGGCAGTACCCTGGCAACTGTTATGCGCAGATATCACGGTATGAGAACTATTATAATGCAGAGAAAGAAAAAAGAAGAAAGATATGCAAAGCAGCGAGATATAACGCGTTCCCTCTCAAATCCCCGGGTAGGGGGCTATATGTAATCGAAAGCGGGAGGTCCCGCTGGACATCTGCTCAAATGTACATTCCAATACATGCAAAGGCTGAGTATCTGCTGCATTGTCCGCGCGGATCCTCCCGGCGACATATAAGGCAGCATGAATTAACATCCTCGCTGGGGATTAGATCGCAGCTTGCAAAAAGCTTCATATCCTGGAGCTCCAGATATTTGGATTTCACGGTGTATACCTCTCCGTAAGTATTCCTACCATCCTTCCCTATGGTCATATCGAACAGGAGTGAGAAGCTGTGCAAGCCTCATTTTCTAGCGTTTTGTATGATCCCCTGATGATCCTTGCGGCCGACCGTCTTCTCTTCGGAGAAGAGAAGACGTTTTTCTTTGTTTTTCTTTCTTCAAAGTTAGCGCAAACATTACAAAGTTGTACTGTTCATCTAATCCATTAGTGCTAAGCATATTGTGCTGATAAGAACAAAGGATGTAATGGAGTCATGAAATTTGCGATGAACCACAGGTCGGAAGTAGGGGTTTACCGAATAATTTGATGTTTCAAAAACTCATTGTTCTTATCAGCATAGATAATCAGTACAACTTTGACACGTTTTCGTTGACTTGAAGAGAAAAGTGACTCTGAAGAAAAGACGGTCGACCACCGAAGATCATCAGGGGATCATACAAAACGCTAGAAAATGAGGCTTGCACAGCTTCTCTCATGTTCAATATGTTCATAGGGAAGGATGGTAGGAATACTTAAGGATGGACAGACAGCGTGAAATCCAGAAGTTTGGAGCTTTAGAATATGAAGCTCACTTTCTAAGCTGCGATCTCCTCCCTGGCGGGGATGTTGATGCATGCGGCCATAGTCCTCTACCCCAGATCTCCTCCCCTTCCCACTCCCCGGGGATATACGTGCCTACGACCTAAGAATGAGTTTGGCTAGCCAAAACATGACGGCTCTTTTATTTACTTTTACGCTGGACATATGATAGCTGATTTCACAATGAACATGTACATCCTTTGTTGTTGACGCTGTTTATCGTCAATCTATACATATATAAAACTCAAACACTGTACCTTTGTTAGGATGTTTGTGGCTTATAGACTCCTTTGTATGTGAACCAAAGAGGCTGAATTTTGTTTCCCTATAAACAAGCCACGGCGCAAAAGATAGGCTACTTTTTTCGACAATTCGCTGGGTCCTTCTATCGATTTATTGATTTTGTTTACTAAAATCTAGGAAAATGAAGGCTATACCATTCATTTCTCCAAGTGAGTAGTAAGGGGTGGTAGAGATCATTTACATTTTGCGGTGAGAAGCATGCGGTGTCATGAAGCGAGCCGGTCAAGAAAGAAGACTATTCACCACGGATACTACACGAGCGCTAAAACTGACATGGAAGTGAAGCAGGAGAGAAGAGAAGATATGAACTGAAGAAAGTGGAGGACTGGTAAGTATACATCTTGAAGCACACCCTATGCTGGGCCATTCTGGACTCTCGGCCCGGGCGGGACCGGGAACCGCAGCTAGTTCAATATAACGACTGCCTTTTAGGTGTCTTGGAAGAAGCTGTATACGCGTTTTGAGAATCGATTATAATTTTTTGTTGTTCGGCCTACTTTTGGTGTTACAAGGAACGACATTTGTTTGACTGTTCGAAGGTGGTTCTGACTCTCACGGTACTGGAGACGATGTATCGTCTATGGAAGTACGAAATCAGGGCAAGTCTGAATGCAGGTCCTTATAGCGATCAGTGTTTTTTTTTTGTGTGCGAAGCAGTTGTTTTATAGAGCTATCACCATCTACGGGGTATTGAGACAAGCAGGTGCCCTTCATGCAGGTAATCACACCTGTTCACACTCTGGAGTTCATCAGAACTCGGTGGATGCCTAAGTAGCCGTGTCCGCGTAGGAACTTAATTTGCTCACAGAATTTGATAATAAAGCTCTTATCAAGAATTCTTCCTTTTGCATTACCTTCATTTCTTGTCCTTTTGTTAACACCTATGCGATTCGTCCGAATTTGCTTGACTGAAAGGTTATCAGTGGCTTTTGTGCAAAACTTTCACGGGAGTGGTTAAACAAGAGGTAGAAGCTCAGCGATGTCTTAGTTATATCCGTGCACTGCATCACTAGGAGTCAAGAGATTCAAATGTTTTCAAAACAGGTGGAGTCCTTGAACAGGATATGAAGTTTAAGATGAAGCCGGGACTTGTAAAATATATGGTAGACTGTTGAAGATAGCATCTCGTCCATTATGTTGTGTTCTGAGTAGCTCAAAATAGGGGGGGGGGGGAGGGAGGGGGTAGCTAAATCTTGAAAAACAAAAAGATAATGCGAACAGGCGATTCCTCAGTGCAGCTAGTTGCTATCTTTTTCATTTCGTGTATGTGAAAGGCGCTCGTTTCGGCAATCGAATATTAAGAGACTAGATTCATACTCCACACTAGTCTTTCAGTCGCTCTCGATATGATCGTCTTGAGGAGACAGTGGGAATTCGGTTGAGTATTACGACAGATAATGCAAACAATTGTTTGGCGTTTTCGAAGGCAATTGCATATGACAATTAACAAAGACCGAACTTAAATTTAGAGAGATGATCGATACCACCAGGAAGGTGCGTTAGTAATGACCCGTTAACTAATCCTGTGCCCACAAAATCGCAAGAACTGACTATTAGGCCATGTTGTTAACCTTCCAACAATGCGCTTGAACTCACTTTTCTAAAAGGATTTTCCTACATGCTCTTAGAGCTATCATTCATTAGTTACACCATACATTTCTGACAAGTTCAAACCACTCTTTTCATTTCTAGTAGTAGAGCAATTGAATGGGGTGAATTACGAGTTTTGACTCGTACAATACGTGGTCTTCTCGAAAATGATTACGGGTAAATGAACGATAGGATCAATGGCTCGAATGAAGGCAAGCTGACTCGTCGAAGCCTCAACTGAAATTTTATTCAGTTGAGATCGACTGAAGCAGCTTTACTACGGGCCAATGTCCCAAAAAATGTGCACACTATTTGATCCTTGATAACTCTCTTGCTTCAAAATCTTTTGCAGATCAGGTATCATTTTATAGAGCTGGCTTCAATTTAGATTTTCGTTACTCTAGGAGTACTGTACAAAACAGCGGCATTGTGAGATAGGCCGTTTAAAGGAAAATCTCAAACAGATCTGAAAAACTGTGTAGCAGGGTTTTCACACATGCTGATTTTACTACATGACATTCTACAATTTTTCTAAGCTTTTCAGCGGTGTAATCACATTTTTGAAGAGCTTTGGAACGAGGATCATTGCTACCGTTCACCTCGGACTTATGAAAGAAGAATGACTGTGATGTATCGTCAAGTCATTCGTAACTTAATATGCGTAGTGCACACTATACACGTTAACTGACGAACTGCAAAACTAGAATCTGCTAATCTACAGTGATTTCTCGCTGTTTCCTTGTCTCTTTTATTTTTGCTGGTTATGCGTTAGTCAATAGAACACATTTCCACACTTTGTCAGGCTAGAAAATGTTTCACCTTAAAGTTACCAGTAAGCGTGCCGTCGCTTAAAGGCCTCAGTGTGCAGTTTCACACATTAAGTTACAAATGACTCGAGGTTACAAATTTTGTATTTGAAATCAGCAACTTTGATCAACACAGCACAAAAGTTCTGGGCTTGTTTAGCTTATTTTTGAAATGCAACTTTTGACCTGCCGTAGTTTTACAATAACGAAGACTTTAACTTCGCCCCATACTGTAAATCTTAGGTTTACAGCAAGGAACGAGGCCAGCTCTACAGAATGGTACCAAAAATCGGCAAAAGACATTGAAGCAAGAGAGATAACGGACAAAAAGTGTACACATCTTTAAGAAGATCCTGTATTTATTGTCCCGATGAGAGTGTTGCGTCAAATTTGAAATTTCATATCATTTTACCGTAGAGCTTGACTACATGGATTCGGTTTAGCTGAAAGTAGGAATCATATGCTTCATAGTACCGAGACGGCTATATATTACGCATACATCGCCGACATACCCTTTGATTCGTCGAGAGTGGCGGTTGGAAGGGAAATGCTTTCGAGAGGGACGCAGACTGCGTGCTCTACAATCATTCACTAAGCTTGATAGCTATGGGAACCTCGCCTTCCACCCGTCATTCATGATGAATCAAAGGGTAGAGATGGTGTATCAAATCGTCAAGTTTTGATTTTTCTGATTGGTCAAAGATCTGACAAGAAAAGCCACCTAACTAAGCTCGGCCTTTTGGAGGGCATATATGTTCTGAATTAATTTTGAAAGCTGATTCCAAATATGCTATTCCTTGCTGCCGCGCACTATTCCGAAGGAGTTATGGGCTTTTTGCGCGCAAAATTGGCGCAAAATTACTCATTGACTCACTGGCATCACGGCCCTGAGTGCTAATACACTTGCATAAGATTCTTTTTGGGAAAAGATTGGATTTGTGTTATTTCTATTTCCCACCACCTTCTTCTTGCAAATTTTTATCTAAAGACAGTTTCCCATGTTTAGTAGTATGTCAATTTTGTGCAGGAAAAAGCCCATAACTAGCTTCGGAATGGTGCGCGGCATCTCAGCGTTTGAAGCTGATTCAGAAAATATACGTCCCTTGCCAAAAGGCCGAGCTAAATTAGGTAGCTTTCTTCATGAGCTTTGCTCAATCGAGCAGTGAACATCACAAATTTTACGAAGTGCTTTTCCAACTGAACAATTTGTGAGGCGATTCTCTCCATGAGAAGCTATGATTTTCGACGAGAATGAGCAAAAGCTTCCGCAAGGACATTCAAGCATCCCTTTGATATTCCGAAAGAGACGAAACCAATCTACTCCTTCAAATTTTTTCTCATCTAGTCGTTTTTGTTTCCGGGTGACGGTGTTGCCGTAGTATAAGCGAGAATTTTCTGAAGATAAGAAAACTGATTGCTTCACTCTAAAAAAGCTTTTGCACGTCGCTTTCTTGCAACTTTATGCTAAATATTGCACAATCGGAGAAATGAGCTTGCCTACATTGTCTACATCATGAGAAAAAAAACATGCATTGAATGCATGAGCAAATAGCGTCAAAAGGATTAATGCGGAAACAAAAATGAAACCTCAATCACAGATTTTTGACGGATTTCGCATTCACATGAAGAAAATAAGCTAGGCGACGTTGTCAGCGTGTCAGTAAAAACCCTCTGATATACAGTTTGCCATGACTTGATATAAAACAAGGGAGAAAAGGGTACGACAAATGCCTCGTGGAGGGCGTGAAGGGACAGGAGGAGGAGGAGAAGTAGCGAAGCAGCGCGCGGACAGAGGCGCATAGAAGCAGAGGCTCTTAAAAGCAAAGAAAATACAGCGGAACTACACAACACTTGGTTCTGACCGGAAATCTCCACGGATTCTCAACAAAATCCTACAAAAGCACATATCAGCTTGAACGTCATGAGAAGAGAGGACGTCCTGGCAACGTCGCCGAGGTTAGAAAGCACTCTGCAGCAGGATAAAGCAGCATTCATTTGAGTGGCTCATCAAGCGAGTTTTGAGCGCAGTTTCTGATTTTACTGAGCATCAGCCTTCCTGAGATTTTGAAACCTATGCGCAATACATAAAGCGGTTGTAAGAAAACATTGTTGCCGATTGCAGAAAAACTCTTATAAAACTCTTGTTAGCACGAAAAAGGCACAAAAATGCATCTTCAGTGCTAGCGCAATACTCCACCAAACCTTCACTCACTCAGTCGGCTTCGATCACTATATCCGTTAGACTTGTAGGCATCGTCCTCCCAAATTGGGGTCTATGAGATTTCAATGTCTAACAGTTGCGGGGTCCTCATGTGTATAACTGCTCAACTCGCGTTCTTTAAAGTTGCTTCCAAAGTGAGAAAATCGTTTCGAAACCTCTTCGGAAGACAAATTCGCCACGTTGTCTTCTCCCTAGCTAGTGGGCGGTACGTTCATCCCGCCCACTCAGTGAATTCGCCTAGCAGGCGCAAAGCTCAGAAAATGGATCGAACCATGCGAGAGTGCGTGTCTGCCCTGTCATGTCCGCACAGCTGGCCCGCGGCTGACGGCTCCATGTCAGGAGTCACGCCGCGCGCCGCGCCGCTTCGCCGCGCACGTCGCGTCTAAATTTTGTACCCCATAAAAGTGCCCGGTGCTAAAGTGGCACGGCGCTAGTCTAGGGGGGGGGGGGCAGATACATGGCTCGTGACATAAGTAAGACTGCGCCAGGAGTGCTGGCTTCTGTTTTGCTGACATCGCTTGCGGCATCGCTTCGCGAAAAATTCGCGCCGACCGTGACTCCTGACCGTTCCCCGCGGCTGACTGGCTGGCACAAGGAGTGCTCGTCTACTGCGAATTCTAAAAGGAATCCGAGACTCGACAATTTGAAACTTTCGTTCAATATCAAGCCTGGATTCGGACTCAGCGGGCGCACGAGGTGCTAAAAAGGACAAAAACTCAAAATCGAGGATTTGAGAGGACGGTGCCTTATTCATTTACTATTCTGACGGGGTGATTTGTGTTTTTTCTAGCTGGAGGTGGTGCTTTCTTCCAACGCTCAGAGCAAAAGTCGCTAGTATTTGACTCTAAGAAACAAAGATATGCAGGACACTCCGAATATGTGAAACACAAAGTTGTAAATTTGTGTGTCCGTATGTTTCCTAGAAATCTTTGTACGGAAAATCTCGAGACTGAGGATAGCTCCTTTAACAAAGCACCGATGTCATAGCTTACTTCTGGTGCTGCTCCGGGCCCTTTCATCGTTTTGAAAATTAGTATTTATTCGCAGCAATAACATTACCGTAATCAAATGCATAAACTTTGTGCAACCCAACACATCAGCAAAAGTGAAGTACAAATTGAAAGGCATTAGGAAGCACAATGAAGAATCTTTCAAGGGACGGATAACTGGTGACCGTGACCTTTTTGAATATATTATGAGTCAAGATGCCTGGGTTAAAACGCCGATCTGGCAGCTATTTTCGTTAGCTGTGGAACGCTTTTCTGAAAAGAGTTAGGCTTGTAAAAGCGCTAACGCAGAGTACTCGACCGGGATCAAACGGGCATTCATTGTGCTATAATCGAAAGCGCTGACCACCACACTACGAGACCTTTAGCACATCAATCGTACTCTTGTGCAAACACGTCTGATGAGGAAAAAAAACGTTTATTCTGAAAGATAACAAATACGGTTTTGAGAACAGCTCTCCAAGGCGAATGTCATGGCATATCTCACATGACGAAAGGCCATGATCACCAAGTACCCTTTCTCCGTTAGTGAGGAGATAAAAATATGCACACATCTGTAGGATTTTGAAGCAATTCAGTTCGCACAAATTTCATTGTAACAGTGGCTTTTGCATGCTATAATGCAAAAGTCATCTGAGACGCTAAGACATTGTCGTGTGCATGCCGCTCCGCAGGCCCTTGAGCATTCAGTGTCTTGCTTAGAAAAACTGAAAAATTGTTTTGACCATTGATATGCCTTCCATTTTTTGCAAGAAAAATGATTAGTGAAGAAGATCAGGTACCGTGGCCCTACATACGTTACAACCTACTGTGACGTTTTCGCAGGTGTCGATGGCTGCAGGATAATGCTAATGTTGAGTGGTGTTGACGTGGAAACTCCACTGTTTGAGCGTGGAGGTAAAACTGTGCCGATCAGGGAAGGCGAGTGAGTTACATTTTTTTGGAACAGTTCCGCAGAGTTTTTCTGGACCTAAATTTGTGCACTTCGGTATTTCCATTCAATACTATAGTAGGAACAAAAGATTTTCTACACGACATTTTCAGGTATGTTCACAAACTTTACATTTTTTTATCATTATTTGAATGCACTCAAAAGTGCTCTCGGAATCCTCACCGCAGCGGTTACAACACAAACGAATGCATCAACATAGCATGGTTAATCAACCCCACATGGAGAGTTTATATTTACCAGTCCTTGGCATGTGGAAGCTACAAGAAGTGTGAATCCTCGAGTAGCATTGTGCCTTTAAGTCTTGCACAAACAGATTCTATTCATATATTAGGTCGGCACATAAGTAATGCAACTTTTCATATAATTTTTTTCTTTTTGAACGTAGCGCATCCATTTTCTGGCAAGATAAGGATTACGATGTAAACTGCAAATGCAGTTTTTGCATTTTGCCATCTTATGTAAGGGTTATGGTAGGTTTACCGCATAGTGGGAAAAATTCTAGATTGCACCGGATTTTGCTGAAACATGGCCGATGCTCAGACAATCACAGGCTCTCAGCGGGCCCCACCAAAAGCGTCGTTGCCTTATCGCAGCCACTGTCGCTTCCCGCTGAGAGCTTTGTCGGAGCTTTGTCGGAGCTTGTCGGAGCGGACTCGCTGCCCGCTGAGCCCGCTCCGACAAGCTCCGACAAAACTCCGACAAAGCTCTCAGCGGGAAGCGACAGTGAGGCGATGAGGCCACCGCGCTTTTGGTGGGTCTAGGCGGTGGCTTTGTGGCTGCCGGCTGAGAGCATTTGATTGTCTGAGTGGGGGTTACTCAAAATGTTGATCGCAAAAATGAGACCCGTTTTGCAAGAAAGGCCTCTTCCGAAAAATCAAGAAATGAAATATATTAGATATTCGTGTTCACCATATTGGATTAACCTATTGTGCAAAGTTTTAGCGAAGTCTGAGGATTTGCAGCTCATATATTGGTTGCCCTCAAATTTAACTCATTCACTTTCTACTTCTCAAAGACCTAGCCTTATCTTAATTTGCTTTCAAAGTTCCCTCTTTTTTACACTATTCTCATGTGTTAGCTTCTGGATACATGCTGTCTATGATTCCTTTTTAATATTTTTGAAACAGGTTTTTTTACGGCTTCATGTTTGCCAAAAAAACGTGATTCAGTTTTCAAGAGTTTTCGAAATTGTTTCAATATTGCTACTACGTTATCAAAAATCAAAGTTTGCGCAGACTTGCGGCTTACATCACAGTCTACATGGTGTCAAAGAATGCGAGTGCTGCATTAGATAAGAAAAAAGTTATGAAAGAAGTTGCAAAACGTATGTGCCAATTTAATATTCCTTTAGGTAGGAAGTTACCGGGTTGTTTTCTAAGAAGGTGTACAGTAAGACCGACATTTGACTGCGAATTTACCTTCTTTAAACCTAAAGTCCAACTTCTTTGAAGGCCAGCAGCCTACAGGAGGAAGCTTGCTGCTATCGCCCCGAAGAATGGATTAGTAAATTTTTTACGGTAGCACAGAACTAGATGAAACGAAGACGTGTAGTTTAAAGAAAGAGAGCAAATTCCTACCACATGTTACAAATAGGTAGCAGTTGATTACCCTAATTTCTGGGATATAAGGTATAGTACCGCGACACCGCGTGCGGACTGATGTGCGATGACGTTTGGGATGTGCGGCGCCGCACAAGCAAATTAGTATCCGAGCCTCTGTGCCATCTCAGTAGCTTTGGTTCTTGATCTAACTGTTGTATCTTCTTTCTTGATGTCGCTGTTTGATTATCCACACTGTCAATTCTTCTTTCATCGCCGGCCATCTTGGTGGAGCTCTTTTAAACGCTTATCTGGTTTTTTCGCAACTACTGTGCTTCTCTTGATCACTTCGCCACTTTTGTATCTTCCTACGATCGACATTGAAATTTAGTGAAGATTGGCCACTCCATACTTAGCCGCATAGTCCACTGATTTTATCTTAACTTCAGCTGTGTATGACTTGCTCCCACCTGTAGAAACGTTATCAAAGTATACATTTTGAAAGGGGTAAAGAAGTACTGAAGCCGTGATTTATGACAGTGAAGAACAATCACAGCACACAGAGCCTTCAGCTTGCTAGATTTGGAGATCAACCATTCGGGAAGTAGTTTCTGCGCTATTGTTCGCTGCGGCGGTTGCGCCTTATACAAGGTGCGCCCTATACCACGGAAATTAGAGATATCAAAAAGTATGCAGCAGCTCCAAAAGAGGTTGAATTGACTATCAGAAGCAAAATTACTTTACTTTATCAACTCCCGTTTAGGGCATACCCAACGCAGTTGGAAAACCTGTCTTGGGCTTTTACAAGCTAATAAAGAATGATTTTTCTGTGTGAATCTTCCTTTCGCAACCAAGTGCAATCGATGATTCATCAAAATTAGGTCTTACCCGCGGAGATGAGCACGCTTCATCACAATTTGAAATGCACGAGTCTATGCACCGATCTGAAGGAGAACGAGTCGTGCAAGCTAGCTGACATACTGACTGACATTCGGAGATGCATCTGTAACGTGCGAGAGTTTATTCTCTCCCACTCATAGATTTTCGTGCGAATAAAGGTACATACTCACCTTTGTTGTGGATCTAAACGCACTGGATATGTAGATACATCTCTGGAGATCATCTGTGATGGCTCTGATGGAGCACAGACCTCAAAACGCAAATCATGTTGTTTTCAATTGAAAAACACATCCAATTTAAAAACTCACATAGTTACAGGTATTCACGCAACTTGCATCGCATCCCTCATTTGGTAACGGAATGCGCTCTCGGCAGCTCTGCTGACAACCAATATCGCATTGTCGAAGACACTGCAGAAATGGAGACGGTGTGCGAGATGACAGGTGCTGACTGATTTCTGCAGACGGGAGTAGCTGCAAAAATCATGAAAATCTATACAGATTTTTCTCAAGTCTTCCTGAAAAAAAAACGTGTAGCTCAAGGACTACTGCAAACAAGACCTAAGCCCATTTTCTAGTTTGTTTCAGACCTAGTCTACCGCTTTTCCTACATTAATAATTTTTACCTTAACGTTAATTTTTAAAGGCCTTTCTGCTCGCTCTTGATTGTCTGGAGCAGCTGTTGCCTGAAAAAAGATTTTGAATGCCACAAGTCCAAGTTATTTTCTTCAGAGTTCAGAAACTTTTCGATTTCTTTTCACGCTGCCCAGTAGACGACAGCTATTGAGAGATGGCCAGTAATAATAGCCATTTATAGATTAGATTCTTTTTAGAGCAAAAAATGTTTAATCATTTATGAGTTGGCACCCCGGTCTTGCCGGGAATGAGATTTCTGTTCTTCTACTCTCCCATCTCAAGCGTATATATATTAGGTTGGATAAATAATGCCACTTTCTATTAAGTCGTTCCGAAAGTAATGTCGCTTTTTTCAAATGAACGCCACATCTGGTGGAACAAAGATATCTAAGAGGTCATGCAGTCGATGCAGCAATTCAAACTCTTTCTGATGACTATCAAATTGTTGCAGCATATTCAACGAGTTCTCGGAAAATTACCAAAATTTGCGACCCTACTTTTTGAGATGGTCAAGTTTCACAATTCTCAACTTTTATTTCAATCCTTCGAAGGAGTCCGTGTAGCGATTCGGTAGAGCAAACCTTAGAGGAATATGGCACGACTTATTTCTTTTTTTATACTCCGCCATAATTTTAGAAGAGGTTTTTATTTTATTAGGTTGTCCGGAAATTAATGCAGGTTTTGAATTTCAACCGCAATAAGTCAAGCACTTCTCATTTCTAAGTAAGTTGCAAAACACCATTCGATAGAACTAAGCAAGCTCTACAAGGTGGCAATATTGCTTTAGCAACAGCTCTGATCCACCACGAATTTCCAGCCAGAAACTGAAAAGATTCAACTGCCCGAAAAATTGAGAAAAATTGTAACTCAGTTCATAATAATTCTGCAAAAATTCTAACTTGCTCACGTAGACCCAATCCACATAAGACATCCATATACGCCGTTGCCGTATTTTTTTCTGTTAGAAATCAAGAAAACGGAAATTTTCATGCATTTGCCAAAGTGGTGCCGTGCCGCCCCCACATAAGTAGTTGCATACTTCACACCTGTAGAAGTACAAACGTAAATTTTCAGCTCTCTACAAGCTTTAGTTCTCGAGAAATATCGAATATAGCCTTCATTAGTTAGGTGGTCCAAGCTAAAATTCGAATCTCTCGAAAACTAAAGCTTATAGAGAGCTGGAAATTTACGTTTGTACTTCTACAGACTTGTGGTATACAACTATCTATGTGTCGACGGCACAGCACCACTTTGGCAAATTTCCAAAAAATTCCGTTTTTTTGATTTCCAATAGAGGAAAAATCACGGCAACGGCGTATATGGATGTCTTATGTGGATTGGGTTTACGAGAGCAAGTTAGAATTTTTGCAGGGTTATTATGAACTGAGTTACGATTTTTCTCAATTTTTCAGGCAGTTGAATCTTTTCAGTTTCTGGCTCGAAACTTGTGGTGGATCAGAACTGTTGCTAAAACAAGATCGCCACCTTGTAGAGCTTGCTTTGCTCTATCGAATGGTACCTTGCAATTTATTTAGAATTAAGAAGTGTATGACTTATTGCGGTTGAAATTCAAAACCTGCATTAATTCCCGGACAACCTAATACTAAAACAATCGGATTTTGGCGGGTTTACGTCAGCCACAATCACATCAAAAGAAAATGGCCCGTAGTAAACCCGCCATCAGAGCATCTCTCTCGACGCGGACCGGCGTTGACCTCATCACGCCTCAGTCTAGCATCCGGCGAGCCATTGATCTGGAGCGGATCGCTTCCGAGGCATCACAATCAAGTGCGTTCTTGAAAAAGGAACCACTTGAGCTGGTTTGGTCAAACGGGTAAGCAGTTGAAATTACACGGCCGTGGTTCGAGTCCGACTGCCGACACACATTTTGATGCATCGCTGGGCAATCTTTGATAGCGGCCACTACGCAATCGATGATGACCGCTATCAAGGATTTCGCTTAGCAAATGCACGGATAAAACAAAAACACAATTTGTGACGAAAATTTTATGAAAAAACGAAATGGTTGCAGCGTGAATTTAATGAAATGAATAAATGAGTTCTTGTTTTGGAAAGCTAGTGAAAAAAAACCATAAGGTCTACAAAAAAGAGAAGAATTTGTTTTTTTGTTATCCTCGCCAAAATCAGCTGTTCATCGATCCTCTCCATTTCGGGCGCGGTTGTGCAGTTTCGCGCCGATTTTGTCTGCATTTTCAGCCTGACTAATGTGTATCGTAAGTTACTCAGGAGCAACTTACGGGAGTCTTGTCTGCGTCTCCTCTTTTGCACACTATTTGCATCACTCTAACATCAGTTCACGTTCAGGTCACTTGAAAGAGAACTGATGTGGAAGAGTTGACTGCAGCAGGTGGACAGATGGTCAACTATCAGTTCACTCGCCATTCTTATAGCATGGGAGGGTGGGCGGTCATCAGTTCACTTGACGTGAGGTGAACTGATAGGATCAGTTCAGTTCACCAGAATTGATCGAGCTTTACTACGAGCCAATAATTTTTCGACATTTGAAACTCCCAAGGTAGTAATAAATTTGCACTAATTTTACAAAACAAATGAGAGTTTACGGATTTGAAATATCAAATTTTAAGTTTTCCGGGTACAGCCTGGGGCGCAATCAAAAACACGAATCACAATTATGATAATTTTGTCCACAAAGTTTCCACGAATCGGGAACAAGAAACATCTATTAGAAAGAGGAGAAAATGCTGCATCGTATAGCACCCGAGTTGCTCTCCCTTTGATGTTCGACGAGGTTTTGGCTGCCCGAATATAGAAATTGTTAGCATCAGTTAAAATTCTATGAAACCGTATGACGAGTTATGGAACAGAGAAAATGTTTTGCGTCCTGTAGGGTTTGCTCTATAGGTTTGTTACTTGAACTCTTTCTGAGGGTTGGTATAAAAGTTTAGAAAAATTGTGAAACTTGACCATGTCAAAAAGCATGGGTCGCAGATATTGGTAGTTTTCCGAGATTTGCTGCATCGAATGCTAGCAAGATCTCTTAGATATCTTTGTTCCACCAGATGTGGCGTTCATTTGAAAAAAGCGACATTACTTTCGGAACGACCTAATAAATAAGTTTTGTCTTTTTGAACGCAGCGGATTTTTTTCTGGCAATATAAGGACTATGATGTTAATTGCAGATGCAGACTTGGCAAATTTTGCCATCTTATGTGAGGGTGTAGGTTTGCAGTACAATGCGACAAATTTTAGATTGCAGATGCTGAAACTTGGTCTATGGGGGTCATTCGACATGCTGATTACAAAAATGAACCCGTTGCGCATGAAAAGGCCTCTTTCGAGAGATCAGGAAATAAAATTCATTATAGCGACAAACGAGTATGATATTCGTGTTCCCCGTCTTGGATTGTCTTATTGTGCAAAGTTTTAGCGAATCCTGAGGTTTCGCAGCTTAGTTATTGACAGATTGCACTCCAAATCTGGCGCATTTACTTGTTCTATTTTTCAGAGGCGCCTTATCTTAATTTGTTCTCAAATTTCCCTCTTTTTTTACTGATCTTATGTGTTAGCTTTTAGATATATCCTGTCTATAATTCCTTTGTGAGTGTATGATTCAAGTTTTGTACTGCTTCTGCTTGTACGAAAAAATGTTTCCCAAAAAACCGTAAAACCTAGATTTTCAACAGTTTTCGAAAAATGTCGAAATTTTTTTGACTACGTTTCAGGTCATCAAACGGTTTGCAGAGAATTGCAGCTTACGTCACATCCTACACGATGCCAGAGATTGAGAATGCTACACTGAATTAACAAGAAAGAAAAAACTCTATTTTCAAACCGGTCCAAACCAAATTTGGCACTACATTTCTGGGCGGGGTGGGTGTCATAGGCTACTTTCATCATCGATCGATATCGATTTTATCGATTTTTATCGATTTTCTTGTAATGTTTGAGCTACGGGCTGAGAGTTGGCACAGGGGGGGGGGGGTAATCGAGCATGATGATTACGACTACAATGTTAGTTTTTGAAATTATCCATTACTTTTATCGATTTTATCGGTTTCTTGCAAAGTGAACTACGGCTGGGAGTTGCCACAGGGAGTAAGTGAGCATGCTCTGATCACTAACACAGCGATTTGACTGCTTTAATTTTTGTATGAAAGATAAGTCATGCTTTTTCGAAAGACCTTAGCCGCTTGCTAATGGTCATCTGCAGGGTCAAGATTGGGGTGTGGCACGCCACACCTGGGGGATCGTATTGAGGAGTCAAAAGGGGAGGGGGTCGTAGTTGGGTAATCTGATAATAGTATAAAATAATATTCGTATTATATCCATAATTAGCATGTCAATTAATCTTTGTAGACAAAGTTTGAGCGAATTCTGAAGATTCAGAATACTAGGCTACCTAAGTGAAATGCTCATTTTCCAACATGATTGATTCTGTTTCAAAGGTGAATTAGCCATCCGTTTTTGCAATCAAGACGAAGCACTACTCCTTCTTTGTCCATCTCAGGAATCTCGCTTTATAAGACTTCCAAACTGTGGAATTAGAAGCCAACCAAAATCTCATTTTCATTTTCCCTACTTTTCGCTTTGAATGGCTATGCTTTCACCAAATATTACTCAGAACTAACAAGGCGATTCAGACTTGAAACATTCCTATGGAATCTACGAGGTTTAGGCTATCGATCCATATAAATAATGTTTACTAAAAATGTAAAAACCCACCTCAAAAGCTGCGGCAGCCGCAGCTTTTGAGGGGGGGGGGTGCCGCACCCCATTAACTATATCAAAAAGATATTTTTAGTAAGCATTATTTATATGGATCGATAGCCTAAACCTCGTAGATTCCATAGGAATGTTTCAAGCCTGATTCGTCTTCTTAGTTCTGAGTAATAGTTGGTGAAAGCACAGCCATCAAAAGCGGAAAATGGGAAAAATGAGATTTTGGTTGGCTTCTAATTCCACAGTTTGGAGGTGTTTTGAAGCGAAATTTCTGAGATGAACAAAGAAGGAGTAGTGCTTTGTCTTGAGTGCAAAAACTGGTAGCTAACTTACCTTTGAAACAAAGTTAATCATGCTCGAAAATGACCATTTCACTTAGGTGGCCTAGTATCTTGAATCTTCAAAATTCAAACTTTTTCTACAGGGGTTAATTGACATGCTCATTATGGTTACGTTGCCCATTATGTTTGACAGAGCCTTCAGGTAATGCTATCTTAGGTATATAATTCAGGGGGGGTCTTATTAAGACAGCAATCAGGGGGGGGGTGGGTCGTACCCAGCGATCGTCTGCCACACCCCTTGCTTAATCCTGGTCATCTGTTGCATAGATAGGAGCGATAGAAGAAAGTTGGTCAAATTTGAATTTTCTGCATAGGGTCATTAAAAATCGGAAACTTGTAACAAAAATCAGAGCAGTCGGTATTGTAGGTTATTTCACCAGCTCTTTAACAGTGCAAAGTTTGCGCCGATTGAGCGTCTCTATGAAAAGTTATGATTTTGAGCAAGTAATACAAAAGGGCGAATTTGGTTTATTTTAGCATTTTTTCATAGAGACGCTCAATCGGCGCAAGCTTTGCACTGTTAGAGAGAGCTGGTGAAAAAACCTACAATACCTACTGCTCCGATTTTTGCTGCAAGTCTCCGATTTTTTGAGACCCTACACAGAAAATTCGAATTTTGACCAATTTTATTCTACCGCTTGCTAGCTATGCAACAGATGATCATTAGTAAGCAGCTAAGACGTCTCTATAAAGAGCATGATTTGCTCTGTCATACAAAAATAAAAATTTGGATTTTTCGTGTATGGTCATAAAAAATCGAATACTTGCAACAAAAATCGGAGCAGTTGGTATTGTAGGTTCTTTCACCAGCTTTTTCCAACAATGCAAAGTTTGCGCCGATTGAGCGTCTCTATGAAAAGTTCTGATTTCCCTGAAAAATGTCAAAATAAATCAAGTTCGCCCTTTTGTATTGCTTGCTCGAAAATCATAACTTTTCATAAAGACGCCATCAGCGCAACCTTTGCAAAGTTAGAAAGGGCTGGTAAAAGAACCTATAATACTGACTGCTCCAATTTTTGTTGCAAGTTTCCAATTTTTTTATGACCCTACACAAAAAATTCAAATTTTGACCAATTTTCTTCTATCGCTCCTATCAACAGATGAGCACTAACAAGAGCTAAGATGTCCTTATAAAGAGCATGACTTACTCTTTCCTTCCAAAACAGAAGCAGTCAAATCGGTCAGAAATTTCAGAAGTTATGGATTTTTGAAAATCGTGAGCAAGAACTTTCGGGACGACCTAATATACTAGTAACTATTGACCTAATATATTCATAACTTCTAAAATTTCTGACCGATTTGACTGCTTTTGTTTTTGTATGAAAGAGCAAGTCATGCTCTTTATAGAGACGTCTTAGCTGCTTACTAATGATCATCTGTTGCATAGCTAGCAAGCGGTAGAAAAAAATTAATCAAAATTCGAATTTTCTGTGTAGGGTCATAAAAAATCGGAAACTTGTAACAAAAATCGAAGAAATCAGCATTATAGGTTCTTTCCAGCTCTTTCCAACAGTGCAAGGTTTGCGCTGATTGAGCGTCTCTATGAAAAGTTACGATTTTCGAGCAAGCAATACAAAAGGGCGAATTTGATTATGGCATTTTTCAGGAAAATCATAACTTTTCATATAGACCTCAATCGGCGCAAACTTTGCGCAGTTAGAAAGAACTGGTGAAAGAATCATGACTTATAATAACGGGCTAAGGATGTTTACGTGACTTTGTGTGTGTGTTTGTGTGTCTGTTACAAAATTCGTGGAGCGTGTTCCAGCAAACATTCTGGGCCCAAATTTTGCACAGCACATGCTACCAGCACAAAACTCCACCATGCAAAAGCATGAGCGAATTCGTTGAGTGGATCCCTCAGAAATTGCGCGCCAAACGGGTATACCTGGCTTCTGTACCGCAAAATACGGTCCGTATCACCTCTTTTTGCAGAGCCGTGGATGAGTTTGTTAAGCAAATGTGTAAGCGCTGGAGTTTAGCCGAAAAAGTGATTGAAAGTTTACTACATAACGAAAGCGGCGCCAAAACGAATTGGTTGTGTAAATGGTCAATTTGGCAACGTTTGAGAAGGTTTTCGCACAGAAATGTACCTCACGGTTACTACTGCCTTTATGGCGACTACCAAGTCATGACAAATCCAAAAACCTATTCAAATTTGCGTTTGTCTTCCTGCGAAAAGTTTCATCCACGCGAAATCACCGATCTCACGTGAAAAGACTTTCTAAATGAGTGGTTGTTTACATTATATTCGTGGTAGTTGGCATAGCGCGGTGAGTTCCAGTGCCACGATTTTACGAGAATGAGTAAGGCACATAGATAGTAGAGCCAGTGCGAACCTCTGCGAAGCAGAGGTGATGTACTGGTCTACAATACCGACTGCTCCGATTTTTGTTGCAAGTCTACGATTTTTTGAGACCCTACACAGAAAATTCGAACTTTGACCAATTTTATTCTACCGCTTGCTAGCTATGCAACAGATGATCATTAGTAAGCAGCTAAGACGTCAAAATTAAGGGCTTTTGGAAAAAATATTTAATACTGAAAAGTTAGTTGATAATCCAAAATAGTTCTTTATATCCCATTTTGTTTGCTCTATACAATAGTTATCAAAGCTAGTCCAGAAGCTGAAGATGGAAATTTCAAAAAGTGGCCAAACTCAAAATGAGTAAAAAATGGGTTGGAGAGCCCGCCAATTATTAAGCGTGCGTTGTTGAAATCTGAACAAGAACATAACTATTGAAAAGAGACAGAAATTCTGAATCGGAAAGCGCTTACAGCTTCTGTGTATTTTCATTTTAAGTGGTTTAAGCACGAGTTTGAAAAAACAGCGCGAACTTTTGGACCGACCTAGCATATTAGGTTGTCCCGAACACACACACACACACACACACACACACACACACACACACACACACACACACACACACACACACACACACACACACACACACACACACACACACACACACACACACACACACACACACACACACACACACACACACACACCCACAAAGACAGACGCTTAGCGCTTTATTGAAAGTCATGATACTTTTTCGTAATTTTGGTTCTTACCACCCTTCTTGTTGTATCTGAAACTGAAACTTCTCCGGGTTTTTGCCTTTACCCCGTAGCGAGGCTTTGTTGAAGATAAAAACATAGGCGATTGAGTAAATCATGTTTTTTGATTTGGTCAATGATTATTCCAAAAGAGTCTTAGTACGATCGTGACCTTGTGATGCGTCAAACTAGTAAAAGCAGGAGAAAAACCTATCACCTGCGGTTGTGGCTCTGCAGTATTTGTTGTTAGTTGGTAAGTGACTGAGTCAAGATCCATTAATGTGGGATGTGAGGAAGTCGGACATAATCCAATGCAAGTCGATTTGCAAGTCTTTCTACATTCCGCGGACGACATCGTCAGAGCACAAGAACTTTCGCACTCCTGTTCGCAATTGGAAGCACAACTTTGCGGGGTCTTCTTACTGGCATCCACCACCTGGGACAAAGCTAATTTTGTTATTAATGAGTCAGTAAATTCCTACGATGTAACCACTTTGTCGGCTGAAATGATATGGAAACTTTGGTCGCAAACTCGGCCACATGAGCTTTGACATGAAGCGGAACACAATGAAGAGCTGTATCGAAGAGAAAGACAGGCAGAGACGCACTGAAATCTGGATCATAACTTTTTGGTAATAAAGCTTGAAAATGAGCTGATGTTCAAATTGTACCTTTGTATTACAATCTCCTGGACAGCCTTGACCTGCTGCAGGATTGACTACAACCGTGACTGGGGTCGAAAAAGATTTTGAAGATGCTGTAGCCGAATTATAATGATGCTTGTTACTGTGAAATGCAACAGTCTTCTCTTTGCCATAGAGATCACTTATGCACTAACCTGCATGCTACCTTGCAAGTTTGTTGGCAAGTGATCTGACACAGATGGAGTGGTAACCTCGATGAGCATGAGTTGATGCACTGCTTTTCACATGGAGCAGGGCAAGATGAGCCACTGCTGGAGCAACCGCAAGGACTGAATTGTCCATTTATGTGTAAATTCAAGATAATTCTGCATCCGGATATCAGTAGACCACACGATATTGCGAGTGCCATGCCTATGGGCATTTAGTAGCCGGCGCACGAAACCGGCAGCTGGTACCAAGTCGAGTATTGTTTTCAGGAAAGAAAAAAATAAGGGTTTTTGCAGAGTCCAAGGCAGAGTCTCGAAAAAATCGCAGATGACTGCACCAGGGTCGAACCGTGAGCTAGAAGTAATTCATCCAGATCCTCACCAGTCTACGAGTCAAGACGGGTCATTACTTATACGCTTTGCATGATCTCGCACAGATTAGCTGGAACTATTTTTTGCTAGGTGTCAGCTGATATGGGCCCATCATTTTGTTCACAAAACTTTACATATCTTGGTTTCTAATGAATTGTTGAAAGTTTTGATGCTAACGCAAGTCAATTTCATACTTCTTCCTCTATTAAAGTCTTTAGTATCCGCATTATGAGAAAGACGAACACACCTTTGTTCCACCGCTGGTGCACTTGATGTTATAGTGCAACAGTGTCCTTGATGACAGTAGTGCCAACAAGCCACATTTAAGCAATGTAGAGATATATCGCACTACCTATCATAATCAAAATAGTGATAAAAACAGCATGAAGCATTCGCAACGGTAAGCACTCGTTCTTGTTGTTCATAAACGGTCTGCGCGTGATGCAACGGCCCCTCATTCTCCATTGCTCAGAACCTCTTTGGTCACATTTCAATGGTAACTTCTGCTCTCAGCGCCCCTGAGCGAAACGACGCGCAAATTCATACTTGCCTTTTCCTCTACAATCTTTATTTGTCGCTACTTTTTTTGTTCTGCCTTTGATACAGACTTGCTTTTTAGACGAGACCAATCCCTAACAAATGAGGGGGGGGGGGAAGGGACGGGAGAGGACAGAAGGGCAACGAAGAGGTTTAAAAGGATGCAGAGTACCCGTGGGTGTTTGTTGTGTGTGTTGCGTGTGTTGTGTGTGTTGCGTGTTGTGTGGTGTGTGTTGCGTGTATTGTGTGTGTTGTATGTATTGTGTGTGTTGTGTATGTTGTGTGTGTTGTATGTGTTTTGTGTGTGTTGTGTGTGTTGTGTGTGTTGTGTGTGTTGTGTGTGTTGTATGTGTTTTGTGTGTGTTGTGTGTGTTGTGTGGTGTGTTGTGTGTATTGTGTGTGTTGTATGTGTTTTGTGTGTGTTGTGTGTGTTGCGTGTTGTGTGGTGTGTGTTGCGTGTATTGTGTGTGTTGTATGTATTGTGTGTGTTGTGTGTGTTGTGTGTATTGTGTGTGTTGTGTGTGTTGTGTGTGTTGTGTGTGTTGTGTGTGTTGTATGTGTTTTGTGTGTGTTGTGTGTGTTGTGTGGTGTGTTGTGTGTATTGTGTGTGTTGTATGTATTGTGTGTGTTGTGTGTGTTGTGTGGTGTGTTGTGTGTATTGTGTGTGTTGTATGTATTGTGTGTGTTGTGTGTGTTGTGTGTGTTGTGTGTGTTGTATGTGTTTTGTGTATGTTGTGTGTGTTGTGTGGTGTGTTGTGTGTGTTGTGTGGTGTGTTGTGTGTATTGTGTGTGTTGTGTGTGTTGTGTGTGTTGTGCGTGTTGTGTGTTGTGTGTGTTGCGTGTATTGTGTGTGTTGTATGTATTGTGTGTGTTGTGTGTTGTGTGTGTTGTGTGTGTTGTGTGTGTTGTGTGTGTTGTAAGTGTGTTGTGGGTGTTGTGTGTGTTGTGTGTGCGTGTGTTGCGTGTGTTGCGTGTATTGTGTGTGTTGTATGTATTGTGTGTGTTGTGTGTTGTGTGTGTTGTGTGTTGTGTGTGTTGTGTGTGTTGTGTGTTGTGTGTGTTGTGTGTGTTGTGTGTGTTGTGTGTGTTGTGTGGGTTGTGTGTTGTGCGTGTTGTGTGTATTGTGTGTGTTGTGTGTGTTGTGTGTTGTGTGTGTGTCGATTTTATCAAATTCCATCGACTTTTTTGCAAAGTTCGACCTACGGGGCTGGGAGTTAGCGCGGCGGAATAGGTGAGGACGCTGATTACGAATACAGTTAGATTTTGGGATTATCCACTATTTTTATCGATTTTACCGATCTTTGCTCAGCTTGAGCTAAGGGCTTGGAGTTGGCACGGTGGGGTAAGTGAGCGCGCTGATTACGAATACAGTATTAATTTTTGGAATTATTCATTATCCCTACCAATTCTATCGATTATTGCAAAGCTTGAGTTATGGGCTGGGAGTTGGCACAGCGTGCAAGGGACCTACTAAATGACTACGAAAAGATCAGGATTATCTCCCTTATAGAGGGATAACAGCCGATTAGTCGCGAGGTTACGTGGGGCGTTTCCAGGTGGCGGATAGGAGGATAATCGCGCCGACCAAAGGCGACTTCGTGCCTGCTCTGATAAGCAAGCGGAGCCGGGGGATGGACTTTGTGCCCCCACCAAAAGCTCGCATCCTAAATTCCCGGTAGGTGTGTGAAAAGATGGTTTAGAACCTCCAATAAATAAACTCCGACCATCCCTCGCGGGGTTTTGAGCCCGACAAGCTGTCCCTGCGAGTAAAAAAATTGTTCGACACTATGATACTGAAATCTCCTTTAGTTTCGGAAGAGCCACTGTTAAGACAGCGTCAGCAAGGGCAAGGTTTGAAAGACGATCTAGGCTGCCGAAAACGAGATGAACAATGATGACGATTTGTACTTGCAACGCAAAGACGCTGGCATCGGGCGCATCTATCGAAGACCTCATGAAGATCTCAAGCAAGGAAGATCAAGTACGAAGTCATCGAACTGATCGAGACAGGGAGACACCACACGCTGAATGCCACATTCGAAACTGGAGAAGAACTGTTCCTAGGAACATGCGACGGCAGAGGAGTAGGCAGTGTATGAGTTCTTGTCAACACGAGTTTCGCCACGAACATCGATTCTTTCGAGCAACTCACAATTCGAATCGGTCGATTGCGAATATCAAGATGTGGATCAATCCCGACGTTAACCTTTTCAATGCGTTGCCCCAACATCCAGCTACAATACCGATCATAATTCGTCAAAAAAGTCGCCGGAGTGCGGCGGAGTGTGGCGGAGTGCGGCGCACTTCACCACACTCCGCCGCACTCCGGCGCACTGCGCCACACTTCACCACACTCCGCCGCACTCCGGCGCACTGCGCCACACTTCGCCACACTCCGACGCACTCTAGCGCACTCCGCCGCAGTCCGGCGACTTTTTTGACGAATTATGAGCGGTATTGTATGTAGAGCAGTCTGTTATGGAATTTTCGGAATTTTGCGATATTCAGGGAAATTTTGCACATTCTGTAAGCGGTATTGTACTCGACGTGCTAACAACATTTCTTATATTGTTTTGCTGCTGGTGGCACATTGTAGGATAGAATATCTGCCAAATTACACGACCTTCGAATTTGAAAGACAATTCATGAGAAGGCGATTTTGTAACATCATAATCTGACGAACAATTCAAATAAAGATCTGTGCTAAGCATGGTCCGATAGAGGTGTTCACAAAGTTTTCAACTCACAAAAATTTGCAGACAATTTCCGCAACAGGTAGGGGAAAAGTGCAGGCGAAGTTGCGATCTTGGTTGGTCCAGCTACTTCTATCTCACTTTAGCTTTACTGTAAGACTCTCTAGTGCAAAATAAATAGGATTTTCGTAAAGATCGGGACCAAAAACCACTATGAGTGAAGTTTACAGTCAATCCGAGAACTTCAATATTTTAACCAAATCTTACGCCGAGGCCAAGAGTGAGGAGCGAGAGGCCAAGAGCGCGCTATATCAGTGTGTATTGCTTCTAAGAAGCTGGAAAAAATATGGTGTGTATAGGTATAAGAGAGGTGTCTAACATGATTTTTGGGGGAATTACGGAGCAACTTTGGGAGAGCCGATTTTACGGCCTGAGCATGCATGTTGGGGGGCTAATAACTCTGCGAATATTACAGCTACGGGGCTGGGGTTTGTTTTATTTGACAGATCTCTGAAAATATGATTTTTAGAGAGAAGGTCGTAGGATAACAAATTTCCATTAAAAGTGCCTAATTGACAGCCGAACTTGGGAAATCTGTCAATAAGGGCGATTTCGGCGCCTTATATCTCTAAGAGTTGCAGGGCTGGGGTAATCTCATGTGGCCATTGACATGTAGTTTTGGTAGCTCTATTTTTCTAGGGGTAGCTCGTGCTCACAGCTCCAGCGTAAGAGGCGCTATATAAAGGCGATAGTGCATATTTTGAATTTTATCTCCGCGGAGAGTAGGGATGACGAGCTGGGATAGCCATTCTTCAGTTTGTATTCGAGGGGGACACCACATATAATTCGGAGAAAATGTAGGGGCTTCGGCTGTGGGAGCCTATCTATAAACCTTCCCGGACTTTAAAAAAAAAACTTAGACACGCGATTTTTCCTCTTTCTCCCCCCCTTTCTCTCTCCCCCCTTATTTTTCCTTCTCTCTTTATTACCGCTTCGTGTACAGTTTTCCCGCGGCCATCTGGACCTGGTTAGGGGCTGAAAACGGCTAAAAAAGGGGGTAAATCGGGCTAGAAAAACGCGATTTTCGCTTATTTTTTCTTAATTTTTCTTATTTTCTTCAATTTCGATCGTGACGTGGGGTATAAAGTGGGCGGAGCTTGCTTGGAAAAGTTTCAGCTGTATAAAAGCACTGGAAATGAGCTTATTATGGAGTTTTTCGAATTTTTCGCTTAGTTTTTCAAAAATTTTACCGATTTCCGAAATTTCGAAACCTCCAGAATATCGATTTTATCGATTTGTGCCGATTTTTGGGGTTTTGCAACCTTCAAAATATCGATTTTATCAATTTCTGACAATTTTCGGGATTTTGCAACCTCCAAAATATCGATTTTCGCCAATTTCCGGGATTTTGCAACCTCCAGAATGTCGATTTTATCGATTTTTGAGGTTTGATAGTTCTCTAAGCTCAAAATATCGATTTTATCGCTGTTTAGCTTTGAACTGTAAGCCCCGCCCACTTTTTGATGTTATTATA